TGGGTCAGGACACGGAGACATGGGTCAGGACACGGAGACATGGGTCAGGACACGGAGACATGGGTCAGGACACGGAGACATGGGTCAGGACACGGAGACATGGGACAGGACACGGAGACATGGGACAGGACACGGACCAGGAAAACGTCACGCGTGACCTGCACAGGGTATGACGGTCTTACCAGTGACGAGGAATTGCCATGCGCACTTTGGTTCCAATATTTTCTGCCAGCCGGGTGACTGGATGCTGCGCCGCCTTCCACTGAGGACAAGAAGGGAGACACACATAAGTAAAGGGGCCCCACATAACCCAACCTCCTACAGGGGCCCCACATACCCCAACCTCCTACAAGGGCCACACACAGTGCAGAACCCAACCTCCTACAGGGGCCCCATATAATACAGAACCCAGCCTCCTACAGAGATCCCACATAGTCCAGAACCCAACCTCCTACAGAGGTCCCACACAGTGCAGAACCCAACCTCCTACAGAGATCCCACATAGTCCAGAACCCAACCTCCTACAGAGGTCCCACATAGTCCAGAACCCAACCTCCTACAGAGACCCCACATAATACAATCTAGCAGAGAAATGGCTTCCCGGACCTTTCTTCTTGCGGTGAAGTGTCAGAGCAGCTCGGAGACGCGCCCAGCGCTGGTGGTCTCTCTGGGGGTCCGGAGCGGATTCTGTGGACAGGTCAAGATTCCTGACAACCGTAGAGTTTAGGAAGGACGAGGTCAGCAGGGAGGGAGAGAAGTGAAGAGTAGGGAGCGCTCCCCAATCCTGAGGAAGAGGAAAATATCAGAACAAATCAAAAGGATTTCCAACCTTAAAATCCACGCCCACCTTTGTATGTGATGGGCTCGCCCCCCTTTGTATGTGATGGGCTCGCCCCCCTTTGTATGTGATGGGCTCGCCCACCTTTGTATGTGATGGGCTCGCCCCCCTTTGTATGTGATGGGCTCGCCCACCTTTGTATGTGATGGGCTCGCCCACCTTTGTATGTGATGGGCTCGCCCACCTTTGTATGTGATGGGCTCGCCCACCTTTGTATGTGATGGGCTCGCCCACCTTTGTATGTGATGGGCTCGCCCACCTTTGTATGTGATGGGCTCGCCCACCTTTGTATGTGATGGGCTCGCCCACCTTTGTATGTGATGGGCTCGCCCACCTTTGTATGTGATGGGCTCGCCCACCTTTGTATGTGATGGGCTCGCCCACCTTTGTATGTGATGGGCTCGCCCACCTTTGTATGTGATGGGCTCGCCCACCTTTGTATGTGATGGGCTCGCCCACCTTTGTATGTGATGGGCTCGCCCACCTTTGTATGTGATGGGCTCGCCCACCTTTGTATGTGATCGGCTCGGCCACCTTTGTATGTGATGGGCTCGCCCACCTTTGTATGTGATGGGCTCGCCCACCTTTGTATGTGATGGGCTCGCCCACCTTTGTATGTGATGGGCTCGCCCACCTTTGTATGTGATGGGCTCGCCCACCTTTGTATGTGATGGGCTCGCCCACCTTTGTATGTGATGGGCTCGCCCACCTTTGTATGTGATGGGCTCGCCCACCTTTGTATGTGATGGGCTCGCCCACCTTTGTATGTGATGGGCTCGCCCACCTTTGTATGTGATGGGCTCGCCCACCTTTGTATGTGATGGGCTCGCCCACCTTTGTATGTGATGGGCTTGCCCACCTTTGTATGTGATGGGCTCGCCCACCTTTGTATGTGATGGGCTCGCCCACCTTTGTATGTGATGGGCTCGCCCACCTTTGTATGTGATGGGCTCGCCCACCTTTGTATGTGATGGGCTCGCCCACCTTTGTATGTGATGGGCTCGCCCACCTTTGTATGTGATGGGCTCGCCCACCTTTGTATGTGATGGGCTCGCCCACCTTTGTATGTGATGGGCTCGCCCACCTTTGTATGTGATGGGCTCGCCCACCTTTGTATGTGATGGGCTCGCCCACCTTTGTATGTGATGGGCTTGCCCACCTTTGTATGTGATGGGCTCGCCCACCTTTGTATGTGATGGGCTCGCCCACCTTTGTATGTGATGGGCTCGCCCACCTTTGTATGTGATGGGCTCGCCCACCTTTGTATGTGATGGGCTCGCCCACCTTTGTATGTGATGGGCTCGCCCACCTTTGTATGTGATGGGCTCGCCCACCTTTGTATGTGATGGGCTCGCCCACCTTTGTATGTGATGGGCTCGCCCACCTTTGTATGTGATGGGCTCGCCCACCTTTGTATGTGATGGGCTTGCCCACCTTTGTATGTGATGGGCTCGCCCACCTTTGTATGTGATGGGCTCGCCCACCTTTGTATGTGATGGGCTCGCCCACCTTTGTATGTGATGGGCTCGCCCACCTTTGTATGTGATGGGCTCGCCCACCTTTGTATGTGATGGGCTCGCCCACCTTTGTATGTGATGGGCTCGCCCACCTTTGTATGTGATGGGCTCGCCCACCTTTGTATGTGATGGGCTCGCCCACCTTTGTATGTGATCGGCTTGGATTGTGGTGATGACATATCGGACTCACATTGCGGGCTTTCTTCATTTTATATGACTGGAATCAGCCGCCCCCCTCCCTGTCATCCATTGTAACACCAGCTCTGCCTTCACACACAATACACAGTCCGGAGGGGGGAAGACACACACAATACAAATACACGGGGGGGGGAGGGGAAGACACACACAATACACAGTCCGGAGGGGGGAAGACACACACAATACACAGTCCGGAGGGGGGAAGACACACACAATACACAGTCCGGAGGGGGGAAGACACACACACACACAATACACAGTCCAGAGGGGGAAAGACACACACAATCCGGAGGGGGGAAGACACACACAATACACAGTCCGGAGGGGGAAGACACACACAATACACTGTCCGGAGGGGGGAAGACACACACAATACTTGCACAGCACAGAGGCAGAAATTTCCGTGAGGATATAAAGAGGAAAGCCAACAAAAGGGAAGGTTCTGTGTTCATATACATCAGCTGCATGTGCCTGCTTCATGTACGCTCGGTGTACATTACTGGCCCATGATTTTTTAGAATACCTCCGCAAAGGTGGAAATGGGCTTTACACTGTATTCCCGGCTACAATCATTTCTACTTACCATAGAGTCCTTTTCATGGATTCCACGGAGGGACACGGGGATATAGTAATCATAGATGTGTGGGTTACATGCAGCTGCCCGCCCTCAGAAGGGGGACACTGACCCGCCCACTATAACCCCGCCCTGAATGGTCATGCTTCAGTATAGTGATCAGACAGTACACCGGGCCAAGGCACCGAGAGATGGGGCCCCTGTCCCTCAATGGACTCCATGATAAATCTTATTTATGGTCTATTGAGTGACAACAGATCCCACGGAGGTGAAAATCTTACTAGAAGAACGTTCGGCTGAAAGGCGTGTGATAAACTGTGTGGTTAGATAACTAGAAGGTGATGCACCTAATATCCGGAGCAAGACAGGAAGACCAGCTCAAGGAGAGAAGAGCTCAACAACAAGGGAGGCCAACCAAGGAACCACCAGAAGCAACAGGTTGGATAAATGAAGACCAACTAACCCCAATTTATAAGGGAGAGAAGGGGGGAGACGTTCAATGAGTAACACAGGAGGGTGGAAGACCAGAGCCAAACATCTATGTACAAGGGGATGTACATACAGGGAACAGAACAACGAGGAGGAGGCGGACAGCAAGCTGCAATGGTCACAATACATGAATCAGACTGAAATGGAGGAGGAAAGGAGGATAGAACTTCGGGGGATAGAACTTCGGGGGATAGAACTTCGGAAGATAGAACTTCGGAAGATAGAACTTCGGAAGATAGAACTTCGGAGGATAGAACTTCGGGGGATAGAACTTCGGGGGATAGAACTTCGGGGGATAGAACTTCGGGGGATAGAACTTCGGGGGATAGAACTTCGGGGGATAGAACTTCGGGGGATAGAACTTCGGGGGATAGAACTTCG